GAAACTCTTTTAAGTATTTGTTAATTGACAAGCATAATTTTATTTTCGTATTTTTCCTTTTTTTTTTCCTTTGTTCCGTAATTATTTTTTCTGCAGCTGCATTTCTCATTTTTGTATAACGTTATTTTTCTTTTTTAGTTTTGTTCAAACTTTATTACTCATAGCTTTTGTATTTTTTCACAAAAAATTAAATTGTATAAATCAATTGTTAATGGTATAGTTATTGAGTGAACCTACCAGAATCCCTTAAAACTTTAATGCGCTAAGTTATGCGATTATTACAGAGATGAACATTCCTTTGAAATGGGTTGACATTTTTTTTTTTTTTTTTATTTCTTAATGATATTTACAACTGTATTATATAAATACATCTAGTAAATTTGAACATATGGATGTAATGACATGAAAACACTTGCTGAGTAACTACCCAATGGTAGCACTCTAATGATATGTCTACATTAGGAGATCACGGGGCCAGCTTCTTTTCAGACGCCTCGGAGGGTTATCAGGAATTGAAGAGGAAGCAAGGTTAGAAACGAGAGGGTTGCGATGATTCTGCAATTTATCATGGAAGGATAGGTATCTGGATTGGGCCAGATCTGAAACAAAAGATACATTAAGGTCATTATGGATGGTTTTGTTTGTAACAAAGTAGGGAGCATTGAGGATTTTACGAAGGATTTTGGATTGCAAGGATTGGATACAGGAGGAATTCGATGGTTTAGTGGATCCCCATAGCTCAACTCCGTAAGTCCAAATTGGCCTTATTATAGTCATGTATATGAGTCTTTTGTAATTAATTGGAAGTTTAGAGCGTTTGTCTAGTAAGTGCTGAAGTAATCGGAATCGTCGAGCGGTTTCTTGTCGTTTCAGTCTAGTATGAGGATTCCAAGTTAGTCGTTTGTCCAGGTGGAGTCCTAGGTAGCGGATTTACTCAACAAGGATAAGTGGGGTATTGTTAAAAGAAACTTTAAGACAGGAAGTCATTGGTTTACGACGAAGGGTAAAGTTAATTTGGTGGGATTTATTGGGGTTGAAAATTAATAATTGAATTTGCACCTGTGAAAATTTCAAACTTCGGATTGCGTTTTTCCATAAATATGATTTTTGCGGTTAACACACTTTGCACAGGTGCCGCAGTAATGCAACTATATAACTATTATACCATAACATTGTTTATGGCAATAACATAAAATTTAATGTATTATATAGACAAGCATTAAAACTCAGCACTAAGCTCAATGATGGTATCGAAAAAACTTCAAGGCTTTCTATTTAATTATTTGAAGGATGAAAAAAATTTGCATTGACACTATAAAGCTACAGAAAAATTACATCTAAAAGATGTAGAAAATAAAAGGTAAATATTCCATACACCAATTTTACATATGTAAATAAAAGGATTATCACCAAGGATATAACAACTAAGATGTTAAACACTTTCTTCCTTATTTTTAGATTAGAAAAAAAATGGAGAACAGATCCTTTGATTAGTGCGTGAAGAGCTAGAGAAGAAGGACTCTAGCTGCAGATTACATCTCATTGATCCTGCGGCCAACTTAAGAGCCACTTGTAGCCTTAGCAACAGTGATCCTGGACCGCGGGGTAGGGGGGGGGAGGATGAAACTAGTCTCGTTCTCTAACTAAACATTACATTAACCTAAACCAGTGGCGTCGGCAGCAAAAAGTATAAAGTATATATAAAGGCTAGTATAACTCAGTCAGAACTCTCACATTAGATAGCTATCATTCTCCTTAGTGCAGTCGATGTACAAGTGAACATCATTTGTATTGAATATTTAATAGTTGACCGTTGCATTATAAAGGAAGGAGATGGTCCGAGTTGGCGGTCATAAATAGGCTAAATATTGGTAAAACTATTTCATTAAAAGCGAACCTTTCGACCCAACTTTGCAAGTCTTCTTCAAGGCTAGAACGGACAAGATACAAAAAGATAGAGAACTGTGGAAGTTACATAATATTTAGACAAAAAATTATAAACAATGTGATTAAGCTTATTAAAATTATAAACAGTAAGTACATTAAAATATAAACAGAGTAAGCTAAGTAACAAGATCCTAAACTGAAGTAAATAGATGGTAACAATTGTTGTAGTGTAATATATAATATATGCAAATGTGAATATACTACAGATCTACAGGAGAGATTAAAAGAAAGGGGAAAAGGATCTAATATGAAATAATAGATATAAAGGAATGTGGAGAAAGAAAAAAAAAAAAAAAAACTAAAATTGAGACACAGGTGTGTTCAGCTAGGAGTTTCACTTAGAACTGGAAAACCAGGGTAAGGGCAGGTATGGGGAATTCGCTGCCTTGTTTGGGAAATGGGGAAAAAGCTAGAAAATTACAGTACCTAAAATTTGAAGATATGGATGGATACAAGTTAAAAAATACTATATCTATGAAATATTAAATTATAAATATATACCTATACATATAAAATAGAATTAAGAGATTATAGATAAGAGTACAATGTGAATAAAAACAAAAATGGAAGAAGTAAAATATAAATATAGAAATAAGAGACCGTACATTCCAAGATGTACAAGAACTTAGAGGTATAAAGAGGGAAAAAAACGAATTATTGTAATTATATTTGGTTGTATATATGTAAGAAAATTATATTTAAATATAAGATAATATTGAGACATTGGTAAAAAGTAAAATGAATACAAAGTGAAAACGGATGATCATGCATTGATGTAGAATGTAAATATAAAATTAAAATTAAATAAAAGAGAGATCATACAAAGCTGAAATACTTAGAATAATGAACAATTAAATTGAATTAATCAATAAAAATTGAAAGTAGATAAAATTAAAATGATAGGATATAATATATAAGTTATTTTTCACTTGTAAGATTTAAAATGTGTCTACATGTTAAAGAAAAAAAACATTTGTACGTTTGTTGCTGTATACAATATAACATTGTCAAGATGTTCAATTTCTTACACACTATTGGAGAATACACTCTATTTATACTGAACCTTGGCTGTTAAAGCAACATTTTATTTAATGAGTTGCTTGTCCCATTGAAAAATATTTTTTCGATCTACATTTAACAATGAGACAATAGCGGATCTACGGGAGGGAGAGGAAAAGATACGGACTTTCCATTTTGACTGAGGGGAGCGATGGACAAAAAACAAAACAATATTTGTAGTTAATATTGTATGTAAAAATTCAACATAATTTTGTTAAATGAACTGAGGGCAGCATAAAATAGTTACATGTTTATAACATAATGAGCTAAAAATGAATAATGTTAAAAAACTGAAAAACATTTTCGATTCCTTAGTTTGCATAACTTTGAAATAAAAATAATGTTTTCACAGTCAAACTAGTTATGTAAAAATGTTAGGAGGCCTTTTTGATAAAATTAAACAACATTTTAAATAGTTCTTTATTTTTCTTCTAGAGAAATTACCGTTATATTGTAATAAAAAAATAAATAAATAAAACTTAAATTCTGAAGGATCGAGTAATTTGTTTATTCCAATTGTTATATCAAATTATTATATATATGTTATTATTATATATGTTATATCAAATTGTTATATTTTACATTTTATTCTAAGATTCCCATTTTAACACTTATGTCACCCCTTTTTGATTATGCCTACCTCATCATTCCACACTTTTTGACGGTTATTATTATTTATCTCTTAGTTCTTACTATTGTCATTATTCTAACAATTTCATTTTACTTTATATTTATTTTATTTTTTATTTTTTTTATAATTTTTATTTATTTTTTTACCATCACTACTTATGTTTCTCATACCTTGTTATCTGGTTATTTTCTTAGTCCTGATGAAGGCCTGAACTTCAGGTCGAAACGTCGGCATATGTAAAAATAAATATTGTCATTTATTTTTGCCTTCTTTTCTGACTGACCACCCCAACTATTCTTCTCTTCATTATCCACGACAGTCAACCATTTACCAATTATAAATTAAATTAATATTAACAATTTGTATTCAATACTAAAGATAATTTATATGAAAGCTGTTACTTACATTAGTTTTTTTAAAGAAATGGAACATGTCGTAGATATTATCATGAAGGCAGTTTATTAATTAATTTAATTTAAGTATAAATAATATATAGTTTGCCAGAGATCTAAGGTTTAGAACGCTCGGCTATCGTGAGAGGTTACACTGAACAAAATTTATTTGTTTTATTGGCCGTGGGGCGACCCTGTGTAAGTAGACTCTTCTTGGGCATACTCAGGCACTATAAATTCATTATTTAATTAAATTAATTAATAAGAAAACCTGGCGGTTGAGCGTGATCTCGGCCAAATCACCTCCTTGCACAACCGTAGACCAAGAAACAGTACTTTACCTAAATAGTCCTGGATTGTAGTGGTACATGTTTTTTTGTATTAAGTATGGGGCTCTACCAAACCATCGAATTGCTCTCGTATCCAATCCTTACAATCCAAAATCCATCGTAAAATCCTCAACGCTCCTTACTTTGTCACAAATAAAATCACTCATAAAGACCTTAATGCTCCATATGTTTCCGGTTTGGCCCAATCCAGATACCTATCCTTCCATAACAAACTCATTACCAGAAACATCCGAACCCTCTCGTTTCAAACCTTGCTTCCTCCTCGAACACTGATAACCCTCCGAGGCGTCTGAAAAGAAGATGGCCTCATGATCTACTTATGTAAATGTATTATTAGAGTGCTGGGTACTACCACTGGGTAGTTTCTCAACAAGCATTTTCATGTGATTGTATTATTACTGTGTGCACATTTACTAGTTGTATTTTTTTTTATAATACAATTGTAAATATCAATGAATAAAAAAAAAAGTATAAATATTACACTTATAAATCAAATTAATATAAACAGTTTCTATTGTATATTGAAGATTATAAACATACAAATATATTCGCTAAATACATAAATAAATTACTTTAAAGTTAATTTAATGATATAGAACAAGGCGGTGCGTTGATTGCATCATGAAGGCAGTGTATTACCGACCGGGGAAAGGTAAGATGTTGAGCACGCCCCCTAGCAGAGGGACGCCTAAGCTCCGACAACCATTGATCCCCCATCAAAGGCCAAATAGGCTGCCAACCGGCTTATGCTCCATTCAGGACCATTCAGCGGATCGGGGAATCCTTAGGGTCCTTCAGGACTCACACAGGACCTTCCCTCCAAGGATGTCTTTGTGGTTCTCCCTAAACCTCTCTCTGTAGCAGCTTCCCAGAATTTCCTCTCTACGTTTATATCTGTCGCTATCTAAGGTCTCATTTCCACAATGACATTTACTGCCAAGGTGTAAACTGTACAACAGTATGGCGCTTATGTCTCACCTAATATTTCCTATGTTGCAGCTGATATATTAGTTCAGGGATCTCTAAACGTTTTGGCCAACATTGAGACCTCGACCAAATTCCATTGAGACCCGCACCCAAGTCCGGCTGGCTATGTCTTATAATGAAAAAATAAAATAAATGACAGTTGTAAATGGGCTTTTTAAAATAAAAAATCTGGTGCGCGCAACACACAACTTTCACTTGCCGCTCTACTTTGAATAAAAATTATTTTCTGGCAATGCTGGGCTATAATAAATTTTTTTGAATTGCATTTTAAACGGAGCTAAAGCTTAAAGCTTACAGGTAACAATTCATTAAGATCATTATAATTACAAAATGTCTATTTAATATATCGACAGGAGGAAATAAAAATGTAGTCACTCCATCTGCTTTTATAAACCGCACAACTTTCTTTGCTTTTATAAACTTCAGAATGACTAACTCCACTTCCAACGTTTTTGAGTTATGTCATGTTAGTGATATTTTCAGTTGAAAAAGTTATCTATGCAGACAGTGAGTAAGTTGATTCCGGATATGGTGATTGCAGTGTTGAAATATAGAACTGAGAATAAAGGTATAAATTTAGGTACTTATTTCTTATGAAAGGTGTTCTTAGGAAAAACACTTTATAAAATGTCTGTAGAAAAAAGGTTTATTTAGTCTCAACAATCAAAAAAGTATATTTTAAATTTATCCAAATGTTCACCTCTTCAGGGAAAAAAAACTAGAGACCATATCTTTCCTCCTAATTCTCCGATTTTAACGATTTTTATTTTGTTCTATTTGAACTCAGTGAACCTCAAAACATGTATTTTCGATGAAAACTGAGATTCGAAAATGTTCACTATCGCAATACTTACCCTTACTATATATTACATATATACGTAAGTAAAAGTAAAAATTGAATTAGATTTGATAGAAAAAAATTGATCAAAGAAAAGATTTGAGTACGATTTATTTGATAAACTAAAGCAATGTGAAACGGCATAAGGTAGATCAGTGTAAAAATATCAATAACCTCTAAAATTCCTAATTACAAACTTTTTGCCATAGCCTAATTTTGTCAAACAATAATTTCTGTTAAAAGTAGAGGAAATAATGAAGCTTGTGTGATGCGGGCAACATATTTTCTTACTTTCACTTGGTCATCTTTTTTCTCTCATTCAAACCTTTCTGACCCCAGAATATGAACCCGTAATCTTACATTGGAAATTGAATAGCTGTAACTTTGTTAATAGTTGTCCGAAATGTTCGATTTTTATATAGTTTTGTAGGGAATTTCTTTTTCGTGAATTTAGTCCATGTACGAAAATTGAAAGGACAATTATTAGAACATTATAGGAATGTTTGATCAAAATGGTTAGAGGTGTTTTCGCGCCACAGCCTATAGAAAAACATGTTTTTCATTTCTTGCGCGTGTAGCAGTCAAAGCATTAGGGAAAAAAAAAATCGGTCTACTATTTCCCGAGAAAATCTTGGCACAGACATACAGACAGACCAATGGCTATACATGTGTTTTTCGGACTCAGAGAGCTCTGAAACGTATAGATTTGTCGAAAACCGCATTTGACTCGATCCACATGAATATTTTAGTGACGTCATGTGTAAGTAATTTGCTAAATTTTATATTTTTTAATTTTAATAGGTAATCACAGAGTCCTCTGGCTTAATGTAACATGATAACAGTGTTGCATAATAGGATGTATGGGGATTGAACACCATACATATCGGAGTAGCTCAGTAATCAGGTACAATGGTGCCCAGAAGGGGGTACCATGGCGCAAGTTGCGCCATCAAAGTTTTTGAGACAGACCATTTTGACTGGATTTGGAACTTTTGAGAGGGGCACATTTTTACGGGGGGTAAGTAAATATTGAAACCCTCCATTTTTAATCCCTCGGTGGTGTGTCACTGTAAAAGATTTTCGATAAAAAGGTTACTAATTGGATTAATTTATTTAAAAAAAAAATGTGTTGTGTTGATTAATGAGAAAATACAGGCGACAATATCCTAGAAAGGATGGGAAAACAACGCCAGTCAAAGTCTCTCCTCCACCCCCCCCCTTCATCGCCACCCTCACCACAATTGTGAAAACACGGAGCGTGGTGTTTTCGAAAAGTGCTCCCCTTTGGCCGAAGGGCAGCGTGAAAATAATAGCTCGTGTCGACACAACAGCAAACAACAACAAATGTCCTCCTCTCCGAAAACAAAGACCCGACCGACCGAAATTAATCGGAAAATCTGCATCGGATCCGGCGGTGAAATACAACAGAAAGCACCAAAGCCCTGTTTACAGAAGTCCACCTCTTTCCCACCTGCCAATTCCCCATTATTCCTATTTGTGTAGTTTTATCTCCTCGCCGCTAGGATTATACAGTAATGGGAATGGATGTTCTGGTTTGGTTTATATTGTACTCTCATATAAATATATCGAAGAGTAAACTTCTATACCGCCTCTCCCTGTTGACCCTGCAAACATAGGTTCTGTTTTATAAACTAAATAATCCTGACAAAATTAACAATGGCCGCTCCGAATACTCCCTCAAACTGTTTTAGTAAAAATCCGCTTCGGTTCTTCATTAATTTGCATTCATCACCGCATCGTTTCCAAAGGCAAACAGTATAATTTACCCTTGTTTGTCCGATACAGCGTTGATAAACTTCTGTCTATTTATTTACTCTAAATAAATAATATATCGTTATACATTATTAAAATATTGGCATTTAACACTCATAAATATCTGGCGGGTATACAGGATACTGCCTTTTGTGATAAAGCCTCCCTAAATAGAAAAATAATTTGTTACTTCAGCACTTACTATACAAAAGCTCTAAACTTCCAATTAATCACAAAATACTCACATACATGACTATAATAAGACCAATCTGGACTTATGGAGTTGAGCTTTGGGGCTCCACTAAACCATCGAATTCCTCTCGTATTCAATCCTAAATCCTTCTTAAAATTCTCAACGCTCCTTACTTTGTCACAAATAAAATCATCCATAAAGACCTTAATGTTCCATATGTTTCAGTTAAGCTCAATGCAGATACCTATCCTTCCATAACAAACTTCAAAACCATCCCAACCCTCTCGTTTCAAACCTTGTTTCCTCTTCGATACCTGATAACCCGCCAAGGCGTCTGAAAAGAAGATGGCCTCGTGATCTACTTATGTAAATATATTATTAGAGTGCTACCATTGTGTAGTTTCTCAACAAGCGTTTTCATGTAATTGTATTATTACCGTGTGCACATTTACTGGATGTATTTTTAATTTATACAGTTGTAAAGTTCATGAATAAATTTAAAATATATATATATATATTTGTTACTGTTTGTAATCTGAGCTGAATATTAAATAATTAAAATTTGTGTACTGTTTTTTAATAATAACGCAAATATAGCTTCTAAATTTAAAGAAAAAATTATTCCTAAAAGCATTAGTCTTTCTAAATTTTTTATTTAGCAAGACCACTTAAACATTATTTCATGTGCTTTCTTTCTATTTTTTCCAGAGTAATTATCATTAAAAAACATATTTAATTAAATATTTAAAACCGAGCTCTCTCCCAAAATTAAAATCTCGATCTAAAATCTAAAAATGATTTTTGTTTTATTGGTCCCCATATAGTCCGTGGTACAGACCCCTTTTTATCAAATTATTAACATCCGCCTGAAACTTCGTAAATACCTTCATCTCATTGTAATCTACAACTATTTTATTTACGAAACTTCTCGAAATTGGGACGTTTTCAATATGTAGATCGTCTATTTAATTAGGTACTAAAACCTCGTAGATACCCATTTGCTTTCCTTTTTAATCATAAGATAACTTGAGGAAAAAGTGGAGAAAAAAGGTGGCTTTCAAAAATATTGATCCGTTTGGCGGGACCTACCACGCCTCCAAATTGTCAAAATCGAAATTGTCAAATTTGACATTCCAAATTGTCAAACGAGGTTAAATAAGCCAAACCGTTCAATATTTTTGAAGATTTTTTTCTCGACTTTGTGCTCAGGTTATATTACGATTAAAGTGGAAAGCAAATGGATATTTACGAGTTTTTAGTACCTGATTAACTAGACAAAGTTTGCCGATCTCCAGATTGAAAACGCCCCAATTCCGAGAATTTTAGCAAATAAAATATTTGTAGGTTACGATGATATGGAGCTATTTACGAAGTTTCATCCAAATGTTAATAATTTGAGAAAAAGGGGTCTGTACTACAGACTAATAATTATTAATGAAGACTATTCAAGCATTCTCTTCGAACAGCCCTGATGAAGGCCCTGAATTTCAGGTTGAAACGTCGGGCAAATGTTAAAATAAATATTATTATTTTTGCCATTTTATTTCTGTCTGATCACCCCAACCATAGTTCTCTTCATTATTCACGACAGTCAACCCTCAAACCTCTATTAATACTTATTAACATTTAAATGTGCCCTCAAGTAGAAAAAAGTCATTGTATTTATCATATATATATATATATATATATATATATATATATATATTTATATATATATTTATATATTCCAAAGAAAAGTTCCACGTAGGATAACAGGACCTATATGGGACCAGAACCTTAACACATGGAGGAGAAGAAACAATAAAGAACTGGTGTAATAAACGGGTTGGTCAATATCTCATGACATGAAGGCAAGGAGGTTAAGATGGGCAGGGCATGTAGCTCGTACTAATCTATCAGGACGCCTCTACAAGACAATGAATGCTAGAGTAGTAGGCAAGATACCACGTGGGAGGCCAAAAACCAGATGGATAGATAGGATAAACAAAGATACGGCTGAGCTTCATGCCACAAACTGGAAAGCAGTAGCCCAAGATAGGCAGAGGTGGAGAAGGCTGGTTCAGGCGGCCAAAGATCTACAAGCTCTGTAGAGCCAATAAAAAAATATATATATATATATATATATATATATATATATATATATATACATATATATAATATAATATATATAACTATATTATATATAGTTATATATATAATACATATATATAATATAGTTTTCTTATATTTCTTTTTGATGAATACCGGCGATGAAATAGTTGCCCGGTAGCCACGGGGCATCCCCGGACCCGGCGATAAAAACACGGGCTTTATATCGGGCCCCAAATGCGATTTACCTGTCGTTTTATCCCGTTGGTAATTCGTTCTGCCTCGTCCCCCCGGGCCATGCTCTATAAAACAGTTAGCCTCGGAGTGTCCTTCCACGTACCTGCTATTTGGATGGCACTGGCTGAAGGGGAAGAAAAAAAGGAGTATTTAATGGGGGAAAAATACCTCGGATTCTGCAGCTAGAGGTAAAATTGAATCGGAATCAGATTAACACTTCTATATTTAATGAATTTCCCTCAAAGCTGCGAAGCTCTGAAGGCATTTTGGAGATGGTGAGATAGTGTTATAATTTTAACGTAAAATATATCTTAAAAAGGTTTAAGGTAAGCGCACCACTAATGGACATAATAACTAAGGAAAGTTTTGTCTTTTTTGGCTTATGCCGCCGTAATTATTATAATTACAAACTTCTTCGTTAGACATTTAGAAGGTCTCCTTTTTCTATTTAACGCTTCAATATTGAAAAAAATATTCAGTTATGCATATATAATCTCCATTTAAAAAAAAAAAACATCGTTCTGCAGTAATGATGGATACGTCGAAATTCAATTGTTCTAGTAATAAACAAGAGCTCGGCACCAGTAATAGACACACCTCAGCAAAATTCTAAAGATAACTAAAAGAAAAACTATAAAGATAAGCTAAGATAGATATTGAACTTAACCTTAGTAAAACTGTTAGTAGAAAAGTATAAAACACATTGAACTCAAAAGCAATATAGAAACAATCATAGCAAGAGGACGTCGGCTGAAAAGAAGAGTAGGCCGTGAGCACAGGGAGAAAATGACAAAATTTAATTGGTCTAGATGCAGAAAGTGATTTGTAACACATGCGTTGCTACCGACTGCTGCATAACACCCTTATTGCCGGCAGGGTAGGGTTCAAATATATAATAAAAGTGATGAAAGATGCAAACCGGGCCTTAAAACGTTTTCTGAGGATTAAGCTGATTAGTCGCTGAACAAAGATATATATTATTGTATAAATGCATGATTCGATCCTTCCTAGTCTATGCCTGTGCGACCTAGATCTTACCAAGAAGTTTAGCCGAAAAAGTTGATAAGTTTGAAAGGAAAGTGTCAAGACGTATTATGGGCACAATAAGAACAGATGAAGCATACCGCCTGAGGAGCAACATATGCCTACGTTATTTGATCTCTGAGCTTACCATTTTGTGTGAATTCAACATAACAAATGGCAGAGGCATGAAATTAGGATGATTAACGAGCAGTTAAATTATTCATTCATAAGTTACTGAATTATTCACAATATGGAGGTCTGTCCACAAGACTGGAGGAGAGACTGAAGAAAATCATGAATTGCTTCATAAGATTCGTCTTTGGGATCCCTGGCGTTCCCATATTTCCCATAAACATGTTTGAAGTGGCTCTATCCTGCTTTCCGACGGCAATTCCTTTTTGGTATTTTCCTTTTTCCAAATCCTCAGAACCAATAATCCTCCCTACATCTTGGAACTCCTTACTCTACGTTCCTCTATCCACTCTCTCAATACCAGATCTCAACCTATATATCTATATATCCCCTCCTATAAAACCACCTTCTTCTGCAAATACTTCGCCATTCGTGCTACCTCCTTTTGGAACTTCTTATCTGTCCATACGCCAAAACACGTCCATAAATTCCTTCAAACAATTCCTATTCCTCCACCTACTATACATTCAAACTTCCGCAGGCTTTATAAGAAGAAGTTTTAAGAAGAAGTAGAAGAAGATAAATAATTTATTTTTTGGGACATTTAATCCCCTTAGAATAATTATAATGTACAAAAAGATGAAAATTGTCTGGCACATAAAAAAAAAACAATAAGAACGATTTTATCTAACACAACATAATAATCTAATCTTATAATTCAAATAAATTAAGTACGAGTTAACATATTGATAAACACATTCTAATTAACAATATTGATGATATGTAAGTGACAGTAACATAACAGTCGAATGAGAATGACAGCTCTTTGATACGAAAATTTATCCTTACATGTATTCGGAAGATTGATTGCTGAGGAGGTGAAAGAATAAAAGTTGTTTAAATGAGGTTTAGGAAGAGGATTCGCGTATAGAGATAGGTAGAGAATTAAAAAAAAAAGGTAGCATGCATGATAAAGAATTTTGCAAAGGAAACGGTTCTATGTGAGGGAACAAACAGTTTTATGGACTGGGATCTCGTGTTAAACGAATGAACAGATGAGTAAACAAATCAAGAAGGTAAGATGGGATTTTGGTTGTACAGGTTCGGAAAATGAATACACCTAGGAAATATTGCCGCCGGAATGGAAATGGAAGTATTGTGCCTTAGCACGTCGCAGGGAAGATTGGGTTAGGATTCGAAGTGATTTGAAAGAGATTTAATCATTCGGATTACGTGTGCGTTTAAAACGCCTTCAAGCTGCGTCTCTTCTCTTCGTCAGTCTTCCGATTTCAGGATTGATCCAGGGAGCAGCAGGACGTCTGAAGGTTATGTTATTATAATTGCTTGCCAACAGTTAATAGATAAGAGCCATTTTGGTTATTTCACTTTCATTTTTCTCTCAGTATTTTTTGTAGATAATTGTATTGTTCTTAGGATTCTTTGTACATATTTGTATTATAACTACACGCCAGACTGACGCATAGATATATTTTGGACTCTGCTGTTATTCAAAGGAGACTTTAGTCCTAGAATAAAATTATTTTTCATTTCATAATAAACATTAAGAAATGCATGACATCACGTTTACCTTATCATCTACTGGATATGAGGGTTGTTTGCACCTTTGAGTCTGAGGTCTTCGGCTTCGGCGGCCTTTCGTTGAAGGATAGATCCGTCCGCAGTTCATCAGCCGTTCTGAGGTATCTCCTCTCCGCCTGATGATTATCCACAAGGTCCCAGCTAAATGAAGTATTCGGCTCCAACAAAGTAATGTTGACGCTGCTATCCACCAACATAGATTTTCCTTCCCGTTCGTGAGTCTCCTTACAGGGTTTTTGTGTCTCACCAGCACGATGGATTTTACGGAGCTCTAAGGAACCAATCCTTCTCCTTTCTCAACCAGGGCTTGGGACCATCTATGGCAGAGTTAGCCAAAGTATTGTATCAGAAGATCCTGGATAGGGTTGTACTTCAAAGAAGATCAAATGGATACTGGGATGAGGATCCAAGAATGACAGGAATATCACACATACGAATCCTTCTCATGTCACTGGAAAAGAGAGTTGAGAGAATCAAGTTCATGCGCCTTTCAAAAAATAAATAAGATAATAATAATAGAGTAGTGTCTTGCTTCATCTCTCCTGATGGACTTAAGCTCGAAACGTCAGCGCACACGTATAAAGATGTTTTACACTTATAGCGTGTTTTCATTCTTGACAGCATCCCAAAAATCTTCTTGATATCTGAGAGTTTTATATCCTTCTATTTTAGACAAAAAAATTAAATCATTTTTTTAGGCTGGAAAGGGTGCCATGTTGTTTTTCAACTCTTTCATTCCATAGGTAGAACAACTATCCTCAAGTTAAAAACAAAATAAACTTTGAAAAATAATTTCTACAAAAAAACTAATAATTTCTACAAATTATATGAATAAAAAAGTCTTTCAAGTTCATTGTTATGAGTCAAAACAACAAACTTGAGTTCGTAAACATAATTTTTTTACAAGTATTGTATGAGAAAAAAAGATACAATAGACAAAATAATGATTTAGCTATTGTTTACCTTAATAACTAATTGAGGGATCTAGAATGATATTAGAGTAAGTTAATTTTTTTTTTTTGTTCAAAATATAAATTATAGTAATTGTACATTAATGATATGATTATGTTATACATTCTATGTACATGAATAATATTATGTAGTTACAAAAGCATAAGTACAGTTTTATTTCATATTACCAGGGGTTCCTATCCCTCCCAACGTGGATGGCCGAATTAAAACCTACCCTCTCACCTCCTCCCAAGATATTTTATTGCTCTCCTTTTCTTAAAACAGAGCAAGCTAAGGTAGAATTAGAAAAATCGTAGATCATATACAATTACTCTTTTTGCAACACGAACGGATTCAGGATTTAATTTTGGGGGGCCTTCAGCCCGAAAGATTTTTTTTTCATATACATATAACGATAATTAATTTGAACAAGAAAAGAAAGAAATTAACTACCTATATGAAATGGTGTTTAAGTGGTTCTTGAAGTCCTATTAAATGTAATTAAACGAACAAGAATAAGAGATAGTTTTTAATATTTGTTTCTGTAAAACATAATTATATTTTACCATTTTGGGAGGGCTTCAGCCCGAAAGCCCCCTCCCCGTAGATCTGCCTGTGCGGCGAGGAACACTACTTCGAATTCAGTAGACACCGTTTTCTAAGTCGCTAGGGAATTCAAGGGAAGGGCAAAGATTTTTAGTTCATGTTATTACCGTTTATATATATATATATATATATATATATATATATATATAAAATCGCCCTTTTTCCAAACGTATAACCTGAATGCGCTACTAATCGCTGGCGTATTTTGGCTTCAAGAAATATTTATCAAAAATTTAAAACAGATATTTTTAACAAAAATAGTTCAGTAAAGCAGTTTAGTAAATTTTCAGAAATATATATCTAATATGTTGTAGTATGGCTAGGATTTTATTATAATTGTCCGTGGTACAGACCCCTTTTTATAAAAGTATTAATAATCGGCTGAAATTTCGTAAATAGCTTCATCTCATCATAACCTACAACTATTCTATTTACGAAAATTCTCGAAAGTGGAGCGTTTTCAATCTGTAGATCGGCAAACTTTGTCTATTTAATTAGGTACTTGTATATAGGTATAGGTACTCAAAATAAATAATGATTTAAGTAATGAAGCTATGGTTATTATTTATGATATTATTAGTAATATTTACAAAAAGCTAATAATTGCATCACTTGCATAAGTTAATATAAATAAATAAGTATATAAAGATGAAAGAAAATGTCATATCTTTTAATTTGAAATTGAATATGGCGCTCTTTCTTGAGAGCCAACCACCTTGATTTCAGATAACTGAATTCTGAGGAATTCTTGAAACTACATTTTCCTTAAAACAGTTTTAAACATTTCCTCATAGTAGTCGTAGTTTATTTCAGTAATAAATGGCTTACATGTCATCGATATTTAGAGTAAATGAGTTTGAGGCAAAACTTGACCCATAAAGTGTATACATGGCTGAAACTGCCAGTCTATGTATGTTTTGTTATGATATCATCGGGGTAGGGCTTTGATGTCAGTTTTATATTGTTCTGTTTGTTGAACGGATGAATATTACATACATTCCCATGTTTTCTGTCATCATAGGACCAAGTTTTAAAATAAAAGTATGAGTAAGTGTCAAATACCATTCCTGACCCAGGTTATTCTTTATGTTGTATCCTGTTTTTTCAAACATATTTAACCTAATTGTTCTTCTTGAACATATTTCTCATTGATTTTATTAATTTATAAACACCATTAAAAATTTAATGTTCATTTTGACTGTCAAAAGTTTTAAACAATTATTTAGGTTATTCACTTTAATGACATTTTTGTTACATTATTTCTTATCTTCCTTCCCATTGTTGTTATTGTATAAATATATATTGCAGCCGAAGCAGTGGTAGAATACGATTACAAAGCTAAGGAACCTGATGAGCTCAATATTAAAAAAGGAGACATCATAACTGACATATCCATTAAACCTGGAGGATGGTGGGAAGGAACATTAAATGGAGGAAAAAGAGGAATGTTTCCTGATAACTTTGTTAAGGTTACTTACTTTTTATAATATCCGAATATTAATGGTATTTAAGTTGTCTTTAATTTAATATCCTGTCGCTAAGAGACATGTTCGACTAAAGAAAATTACAATGACTATAAATCATAATTTATTACTGTTATATTTCCAATCACTTTCCAACAAGTATTCAGTGTGACTTGTCTATTGGAGGACACACCCTTGAATATTTTGCATTGTCTTATCTATAGATATCTCAAGTGGTTTATAAGAACGTTTATCACTCTTATTGCAATTAGTGTTAATCTTGTTATTTATGCATAGCATTCGAAGATTATTTCATAGACCTGGTAGTAGAAACTCTACTACTTTCATGATAGATTCTTCTGAAGTAATTTTTACTATGATCAAGTTCATTTACATTGTAGTTTGATTGTTTCTGAACAGCGATTAATATATTAACTTTTATTTTTTTACAGTTAATTAAAAATGAAGATGGAGAACCCTTACCATCATGTGAGATTAAATTCTTTTGTATTTATTTAAATTTCGGTTTTATTAATGTTGAGATTTTAATTTCCACATCTGTTATTTATATTCTAGTTTCTGGTAGAAAATGCCGGGTCAACTTTCCCTACGAGCCCCTTAACCCTGACGAATTAAGACTGCATGTTGGAGATGTGATTGATATAATATCAGAAGTTGAAGAAGGTTGGTGGAAGGGATGTCTCAAACATAAGGTTAGAAATTAAACCATAATGCTTATAGCATGTTTTTGTAATTTTTTTTTTTTACTATGTTTTATTTAGATAATTTTATTTAGTTTTAAATCTGAATGACAGGTGGTCCAAGATCACATGATCATATTGTGCATGGCATTCCTAATCTGGCTGAGTGCCGCTGTCTTTGACAGGTTAGGTTAGTTCGGGTTACATTTTCAACAAAACCAACTAAATAATTTAGACTAAATATATTGGTCTGAAATTATGGATACTATTTAAAAGATATATATAAAAACTTAAAAATGTAATAATAAAAGAAATGTATAAAACATAAAGATATTACAATTGTGGGTAAATGGTTGACTGTCGTGAATAATGAAGAAAAGAATAGTTGATGTGATCAGTCAAGTAAGAAGGCAAAAATAAGTGATAATATTTATTTTGACAAAATAAATATTATCATTTATTTTTGTCTTCTTATTTGACTGATCACATCAACTATTCTTCTTTTCATAAAGATATTACATATTTAAAGGATTTATAAAAAGCAAGATTATAAATATTAAAGTAGTTTGATACATCGCAGGCATCTCATGGTCTAATATAATTTAAAATATTTATAGAAATATATAAACATTATTTTTTTAATAATATGTTTATGAAATAATTTATTATTCTATTGATAATTTTCACATATTATGAGAGAGAGATAAGAGTACTTAATATAATTATAACTTTTCTATTTCACACACGTTAATAAAAGTGTTTGGAATCTAAGTAATTTCTTTAATCTTAATAATTTTGTTAGTTAATTTTTGTTGTTACATTATTAAGTTGGTCTTTACATTTCAACTTTTCATTCATTTCCTCAATTCAATCACCATTATTTTTATTAAATTCCTTTATAAATAATTTAACAATAAATAATAGTTTTGCATTTATTCACTAGCGGATCCAGGATTTAATTTTGGGAGGGCTTCAGCCCGAAAACTTTTTTTTTTCATAAAAATAACGATAATTACTTTGGAAAAACAGAAAGAAACTAACCTATATGAAATGGTGTTTAAGTGAATCCTTAAGTCCTTTTAAATGTAATTACACGAACAATAATACTTTAAGAGGTATTTTTAAAATTTTTTTTTCCCATAAAACATGGTTATATTTTACCATTTTGGGGGAGGGGGAAGGCTTAAGCCCGAAAGCCCCCTCTCCCCGTAGATCCGTCCTTGGATTTATTTACCTTTTCATAATGATTATTAGTAGTTGCTGTACTTAATAGTCTTAAAAAGTTCTGAAGATCGTAATTATCATCTGTCAGAAACATAATAATTGTGTTTATTTTGTTAATAAGCATGTAGTATAACCTAAACATTACTGATAAGTAGGTTCAAGCTTTTATTTATATTTATTAATATGAAAGATTTGAGATTGTTCGCCTTTGTATACTTGCGGACACTCTTGGCTAGTTTCGGAATTCCACGTACACAGTGTGATCAATATTATCTTAGACTGTCTTGCGACCATGACTATAGTTTTACTTTACCTTCATTTATTGTATTTTTTTCAGATTGGTGTGTTTCCTTCAAATTTTGTTGCGGAAATTACTGATCCTAAACCCGATGTTCGAGAAGCCTCACAACGAAAACAGAAAGTTAGTCGTGATGAATCAGTCTCTCATACAATAGGTAATCCATTTTTATTGTATCAACAGTTTATTTTAAATAGTTGTATTGACAAATTGATATTATATCATAGACTCATTATTTTTTATAAAACAGTTAAATAAATCATGCTCTCATTTTTTTTTAGTTTTAGTTTTTTATGGGAGTTGATTCATTGAACTAATCGCCTTCTACAGTTGTTTTTCGGTTTCCATGAAAACTAAACTAAAATATTAAAGGATAATGACAATAAATTAATTTGCTCACTATTTTAAAATAAACTAATTTTGTATTTTAAAGGATCTTTACAGTGATTAAAACTAATTAACATCACAATTAAAAATTATAATAATAATTTTTAAAACTATCTTTAAGAACCAATCCGAATGTAGAATTTTATTTCTTTCAATCAGGCCCCACTTTAACTATTGGCAGATGGTTAATTCCTTAAATTGTAGCTTGGTTTTAGTATTGGAGTTTAAGATCATTTAAAATAATCTGACTTAGATACCATAATTTCTTCTCCTGTAATATATTTCTAATTTTAAGAAACGTTTTTAAAATAATCAAGAATTCTGTCCTTAATCCTTTAGTAACAGTGGACTCATATATGATTTCAGAGGCAATCTGGTCTAGATGAAAGTGGACTCATGCATGAGTCGAGAGCCTGTCGGGCTAATATTGGGTTGTCCGGAAAATAATGCAGGATTTTGGATTAAAAAAAGAAAAGAAAGATTTACAACTGTTTTATTTAATCAAAATAGTTTCCACTACTATCAATACATTTCTGCCAACGTGTTGGCAACTTTTCTATTCCCTTGGAATAGAATTTCCCATCTTTAGAATTGATAAACTCAAAAAATGTATTTTCTAATTCTCTTTGTCCATTAAATTTTTTGTCACGTAATTAGTGGTCCAGGTGTCTAAAAAAATGATGATTCATAGGCGAGAGATGCGGAGAGTAGGGCCGATGTGGCAGAATTTCATATCCAAGTTCCAACACTTTTATAGTGCCACAAGTGAGACTTTTGGCTAAGCGTTGTCATGTAACAAAATGGGTCCCTTCCGATTGACCAAAGATGGCTTCATTATTGCCAATTTCTGATGCATTGCATTAATTTGGTTGCAATACGATTCGCCATTGATGGCTTCTACAGAATTTTAAAAGCTGTAATGTGTCAAACCAAATGAAGCCCACCAAACAGTAACCATCATCTTTTTTTGATGAGTTGAAGGCTTTGAAAAATGTTCTGCTGCTTCTCCTTTGTCGAACAATTGTCCAGAATGTCTACAGTTATCGTAAAGTATCCACTTTTCATCACAAGTAACAATTCTGGACAAAAAAGGGTCGTTTTTGTAGCATAAACTTCATAACACTGTTTAGTTTTTTTTGGCGGTCTTTTAATTTGTGTGGAACCCAACTTTCAAGCTTTTTTACCTTTAAACTCGTAGATACCCATTTGTTTTCTACTTTCTATGGATTAAATTGACAAAAAATGGCTTAAAACTTTTATATCTGACATATTTATATGATATGTTACATACATATGTAGATATATGCTACATATCAATTTAAACCCTCTATCGCCACTGAGAAATTAGTTGAGAAGCTTATCACATTTGAAATCCAATTGTAATCTCCTATGATACTAGTTGGGTGTCAAATGGATCTGGAATATCTGTAAAAGTTAAAGAATTTCTTAAATTTCCATATTATATTCCAAGGGTAATTTCCATGTGTATATACTTTGCGAATAATTGCACGGACCAGCTAGTTGTTATAAATTGTTATTTATTACTTCTTTATAAAATGAATTATTAGCGTAATCAAATGTTTTAGGTGTCAACATGAATGCTTCCGAAGTTCAAACAACTAAATCAGAAAGTTCATTCGATCTTCCAGTTTTGCCACCAAAACCAAGTAAGAATCTTTTTGTATATGTTTGTAATTTCTATCGTATAATTGTTAATATTACAGTAACTATCTATTATATTATACAACTATTTTAATTCCGTCCTCATAAATATTATTTGATTTCCATTCCTGCCACGTGCAAATCATGGCTAGTGAAAAAACTTGCTGTATCTTATTTACAATATTTTAAATGCTTTTTATTCATAGTAGATAATCGATACCAATATATCATAGATAATAAATAATCTAGACTAGACTAAATCATTGCAATAATTTTTACTGCTAGCCAAATTTTCAACCCGACTTGGGCTATCTTGAGGGTAAGAGCACACAGCTGAATGAAGATCCTAAACGTAGAGACCCAAAAATTCCGTAATCCGTTCATTAAAATTGAAAACCCTTTTTATTATTAGATATAATTGTGTTGATATAATTAGTAGATATTCAGATCATCGGTGCCATTTGTATTTTATGTTATTATCCTATCACTACTTTAATAATAATTCGGTACTTGTCCAGTAGCGGGTAGCGTCAAAACCTCCCTCCTTATCTAATCTCATTTCAGATAACCTCCCTTATCTCATCTAATCTAAGTTATTCTGTTGTTTAGTTTTTGTTTCTTGTGCCAGGTGTGAGTTTATTTAATTATGGATCTTGTCACATTGTGGCAATTGCCGTCTTCAGAAGAAGAGGCTATCAAATATTTTCAAGATGTCGGTATATTTGATAAGGTGAAATATTGTGATGAGGGTCATAAAATGAAGTTCGACGGAAAGATTGAATGTAGATGCTTTCGTAGGTGTAACGAAACCGTTTCTATAAGGAAAGGAACGTGGTTAGAGGGGTTGAGGATTTCTTTTTTAAAGGCTTTAAAATTCATTTATGGGTGGTTCCATAATTTTATTTTTTATTTTAATATATACGTTGTAAAATAAAAGCATTTTGTTATTATTACATTTGTTTCTGTTTTTGTTCACAATTTCAATAATATCAATACAATACAATAAATATGAATACGAAGAGCTTATCAGTGTTATAAGTGTTAAGGTTATAAACATTGGCAAATAGTAGTAGGACACTACCCGCTATTAGATAAGTACCAATAATTCTATTGGAAGTCTCCATGATAATAATAAAACAATTTCTTGTTAATTCAAATAAATCAATAAATTGTTTTAAAGCTATTGTTATTTCACATAACAAAGGTTATAACATAGTAATGTCATGCAAAGTCGCCAGACGGTCTAAGATAATATTGATGAAACCGTGTACATGAAATTCCAAAACTAGCCAAGAGTGTCTACAAGTAAACAAAGGTGAACAATTTCCAAACTTTCCTCTTAATAAATATAAATGATAGCTTGAATGGACTTATCAGTAATGTTTTGGTTATACTACATGTTTATTAACAAAATAAACACAATTGTTATGTTTCTGAGATGATAATCACAATCTCCTTAATTTTTTTAGACTATTAAGTACAACTAAAAATAATAATTCACCTAAAACCCGAATTTTAAGTGCAACTCCTTGCTGAACACACCTCCCTGAAGAAGACCTTCAAAGTCGGCTTGAAACCACCCTGGACCATCTCCTTTCTTAAAAATATACAGTCATAAAAGTAAATACCTTGTGACAAAAAAGTATAAATATAATACATTTGACGACTGTGAAAAAAAATATGGTAATTAATTGTGTTTAGTGGAATATTGTATCGTCTATAATTTTTACTTATCCTTTGTCTGAAATATATAATTCTGAAGGGTGATAAGTGAAAGTTGCTTGATGCATACTATGCACAACATTTTTTTTTACTTATGAATACAAATCCATTTTAGCTTCTGTATTGAAAAATTAACTAAAGAATTAATACTATTATCGAGGAGTCATTTTTCAAGACAATAAACAATTTTATATAAATCTTTATAATAATTGTAAAATAGTTCAAGTTATAATTTTAGGATATTATTGAAGAGCAAGGGAAAAATAAAATAATGACACTATTTATTTAGTTAGTTAATTTGTTGGTAAATAAATGGATTCAAAATGAATAGCTACATTCTAACTCCCTTGGAGAATGCAATTTATCATTCTGAACCCTTTTATACCAATAATTCAATTAGTTAAATTAATAAAAAAAAATAAAAAAGTAACATTTTTTTTATCCTTTCTCTGCAATTTATAGTTTATAGCTGTACCGTATTTCTTTATGTTTCTTCCTTAATAATATATCCCTATTAATAACATTAATCCTCGGCATCTTCATCTGAGATTTGTTTAGAATAATGAACAAACTAAGCATGATTTTTTTATTGAATCGACCTAGAGGCAAAAAGTAGTGAGAAGATAATTTAGAAAAAAGGTCATAGTGAAAAATAGTAATTCAAGTAAAATTTGAGCCAAATAATGGTGAAATGTATATGAATGAGTTAAACTGCAGGAACATTTCAATTCAGAATAGCAATACTAATCAAATTAAATTATTAAATATCCCCACATATATTATTACAGTAAGGCTCGAAATCGGTTTAGTACCAAATATAAGCTCCTGTCATGCTCAAATACCATGAATGGGGTACCGTTCGATTCAGAATTTCACGGGGGCAACGGTGGTAAGTCTGTAGATCGATACGGGACAAATTGGACTTATTTTATTTATTTAGTTTATTTTTACTTTTTTGTAGCTCTTGAACTATTAATCCTCACATGACCTTAACTGAGGTAATAAATCAAATTAAATACTTCTCATAGAATTCGTTGTTCATCTGTTAATTTTTAAACTTTAATTGTTTTATAATTTTAATATTATCAATACAAACTTTTAATTTATTATTTGCTTAATTTTTTGTTTTCCGACCAAATATAAGCTCCTGTCATGCTCAAATACCATTGGAGTACCGTTGGATTCAGAATTTCACGGGGGGTTAGCGAATCGCATTCTCCACTTGTTTTTCTTTCTGAAATAAATAAAGTCGATACAAACATTTTGCTGGGCTTCAGTACTGGAACGGTGGTAGGTCTGTAGATCGATACGGGACAAATTGGATCTTGAAGATTTTGATGCGTACAGCAAGACCCGGATAGTTCCTTTGAAACTATCAGGCCCTACGTTTTTAAGCACAAAAATGTACTATTTTCGAGATAACGCAAGGCATAGAGTTCGCATCCACACAACCTTATGTTAATTGTAGTATTGTCATTGAATACATGTCTCATTTTGTCGATTTGAGGCCCCTATGATCGAGAATTTTGAAGCCTTTCTCCTTCAGCTGGGCAAAATAGTCCAATCACTCCGAAAATTCAGGCAAACTAATTATGAAACAAAAGTTATTTGCTAATAAATAAAAGATTACTAAATTTCGTACAAAAGGAAAAAAAATCATCGAAATCGGACAATTTTTAGCAAAGATACAACTTATTGAAATTTGTAAACATGTTAGTTCCAAACATTAATGAAGTTTTAAATTAATTTTTGTTTTCTTTGTCGATTATATTTATCGATAAAATAACAATTGATTTCTTTATCTTATGATACGTTTCATTATTTTATTTTCTTATTAATTTGGCAATTGATCACTTAACAATATGCTGTGCGAATTTTTCGTACGGGCCTACTAATAATAAAATATAAAAAAAAGAATAATCAACAAAATAAGCATGATTATATTATTAAATCGATCTAAAGACAAAAAGTAGTGAGAAAATAACTCAATTGGTAAACATAAGTAAAAAATATACAAAAATTATAAAAATTTACTTACCTGTACAGTAGTCCTTTATTTTTCTTTGTGAATGATAGTTGCATATTAATAAGGTTAATCCCAGCCATCTTTATCTGAAGTTTATTTATATTTATAGCTTTCTCGGACTTCGACCCTTATTACTTATTGTTCTGTGTCAAATTAATGTTTATAACTTTTTTTTAAACTGATTCTATTTCCATAATTTAAAAAAATATATATATATATTATTGAAATATCCTAGATATTATTTAATTCTTCTATTAATAATCAGGTTGTATTCACCAAATTACTTGTATTTATAAAATAATTTAATTTTTTTATTGTTTTAATTAACTATTTACATTATAATAAATCAGTTACTTTATTCGCATCAATCAAAGAGATCTGTTTGTCATAGCTTCTCATTTATAGGCAAGAAAATCATTATTCTATATTTTTTTTAGTTAATAAAGTTTGTACTTTATTTTATATACTCCCTTCCATTTAAATATTATTTTATAAATTTATGTTTATTATTTTAGATTTGATCATTCATGATTTGAGGATTTGTAACGTGTGAAAAAAAATGTAAAAATAATTAAAGAAATAAGTTGAAATTAGCCATTCTGATTTGTTATACTTAATGAATAGTAATTGTACCAAAACATATAAAGCTTATATATTGAAATAATCTCTATATAATGAAAATCTCAATGTATCAAAACTTTTTATTCAGGGACCTTGAATTTTTATTTATCTAAAAAAAAGAAAACATTCTTTGTATCAAATAATTGTTTTATATGAAGACTCATTAAAAATTTCTGGTGCCTGCAACACACAACTTTCACTTACTTCTAAAAAATCATTTAAATAACAAAAACTCTATTAATTATATCAATGGTAGGCAATAAAAACCTCATTACTCCATCTGTTTTTTAAACCCTGCAACTCCAGTCTCTGAGCTATGTATATATGCCTAGAGATATTTGATAGTATTTCAGTATATTCAATCTATAAATTATTATGGACTGTACGACTATTAGTTATTTTCCATTGTAATGTTTACTGTTTACAAATTTTAAGTGGATAATGTTGTGATATCACAAAGGGAAATCTCATCAAATTATTTACTAATTTAATAGTCTAAGAGATTACATGACGATTTTTGGAATAAATGGACATGGATACCTAATTATTTAATTATATCAGATCTAGAATTATTAAACTACAATAAATGTATTTAAGGTTATAAACATATCCATGAAATATTTTTATATTTCACTTTTTCGTTCACACAAGTATAATGAAATAGTATTTTAAGAACTGTCAATTGCCTTGATTCCGTGGATTTTAAATCCTTTTTATGAAACTTAAAAAAAAAAATTTTAAGCTTACACTTAGTAAGAAAATATCATTTAACATCCTTGAAAGCATGTGATTTACGTTAAATAATGTTAGTTTCCAGAAATTATTATTTATATTTTATTCGTTACTTTCCGTTATCTTCTACAACTTTATTGATTAAATATTATTTTTTCTAAAATTCTTTGCTTTCCAACTATATATTTCACTTGTACTTTCTGACTATTATTCAATTATCAAATTCTTTCAAAAATTATATTAGCCTTTTTTTCATAATTCCTAACAACGAGAGGCAGTTGATTTTTTTAAATAAACCAAATTAAAGGTACTTTATAGGAAGGCATATATGAACATTGAGCATTTAAGCCCTGTAAAGTGAAATCAATGTGGATAAGACCTATTTGATAAACAATTCAATAATAATACACTGATATACCTAGTTTGATCAAAATTGTTAAAGCCGTTTTCGAGAAAATCGTAAAAATAATATATGTGTAGAAGGTAAGTGTGATCAAAAAGGGTCCTTAATTTATTTATGCCGGCTATTAATGGCTATAATTACATAGCAATAGAAATTTTAAGATCTTGTTTTGTGAGATTCTCTGAAATTTTCATTTTATATTCAGTTTTTTCTTTTCAGTTTCAATTATGGCTCCTAAACAAAAATCATTAGTTATGTAAGAAAAGTTATACTTGATAAAAAATATAAAAAGCGTGATGGAACATTAGAATGGGTTCAAAAAATCAAGTTACAAATTCAAGTATCAACAATTTAAAAATAAAAAAAATAGTAATTCGGTCATCAAAGCGTTTGAAAGTATGAAAAACATTTTAATGATATAAATTTTAATATTTCTTCATTATTTATACAAATATATATTTTAATTAATCAAAGAGAATTTAGAATCAGTGGTTCTGCTGTCTATTATTTAAAAGTAAATTAATTTAATTTACTAACTTCCATCTCACTGATTATGACATCGTTTTTCAAAGCTTACAAACCTATGCACATTGATTGTCTATGCCGATATCTTTGAATATTTTTCTTAAGGATCATTTTTTATTGATTTCATGAAATTTTATTATAAGTTTCACTATTTATTTATTAAGTATTCACTGTATTCACTTTTAATTACATTATAAGTTTATTTTGTTACTTTCTTTTTTTAATTTTAGCGAAAGAATATTACAAGGCATTATATAAGTATGAAGCTGAAAATGTCGATGAGTTATCTATTCAACCGGGTGATGTGATAACGCTCTTAACTAAAGACGGCCAAGATCCTGGCTGGTGGAAGGGCGAGCTAAAAGGAAAAGTTGGATTTTTCCCAGATAATTTTGTCGAGCTAATCACCTACGAAGAGGTAATTAATTGCTAACTATTTTTACACATCTTACCTTCTTATTGAATTTAAAAAAAAAATGTTTATTTTCTAGGCGAATAAGAGTGAACTGAAATCAAGATTATCAAATAGATCAGCATCAACTATAAGTAAGTCTGCAACAACATCGTCTATTTGTGAAAGCGGCAATTCTTCCATTACACGCAAGTTCAGTGATACATCAAAAATATCTGGTAATGATAGTTAATTTTCTATTTTATTAATCTTTTCTCTATCATATAGAAAGAAAGTTTGTATCTCAAAAATATCAATGCGTATGAAGATGAAATTTTGAATGGTTTAGTTCGACTGAGATTATTTGGCAGCCAGAGGACGAACTCATGCAGCATCTAGTTGAAACTAGCGTTATATTTTTTTCTTACCTAGGACTCCATCTGGACAAACGTCTAACTTGGAATTCTCATACCAGACTGAAACGACAAGAAACAGTTCGACGTTTCCGACTACTTCAGCACTTACTAGACAAACTCTCTAACCTTCCAATTAATTACAAAAGACTCATTTACATGACTATAATAAGGCCTATTTGGAATTACGGAGTTGAGCTATGGGACTCCACCAAACCTTCAAATTTCTCTCGTACCCAATCCTTACATCCAAATCCTCTAAAATCCAATCTCCTTCTTGTTACAATAAATCTCCAATGCCTAATGTTCCTTATGTATCAGATTTGGCCCAATCCAGATATCTGTCCTTCCATAATAAACTTCATAACCATCCCAACTCTCTTGTTTCTAACCTTGCTTCCTATTCAATTCCTGATAACCCTCCGAGGCGTCTGAAAAGAAGATGTCCACGTGATCTCCTAATGTAGACATATTATTAGAGTGCTACCAATGGGTAGTTTCTCAACATGTGTTTCATGTCATTATATCCATGTGTGAATTTACTATGTATTTTTTGTATACAGTTGTAAATATCATATAAATAAATAAAATAATATTTTTTTCTTTTACTCTCCAACATAACTTACAAAATATTTACAAATAGAGAGTATTAATTAAAAGATTGTGATATCATATTTCAATATTTCTATAGGTTCATAAATATTCTGTTAGTAGTATAGGAGGTTTAGAGAAGAAACAAAATGTGAATTCCGCCTTGTGCCGCTTGAGTTCGCCAACTAATCACAATCAAACTATAGTTAGACTTTTGCCAGAGAGTTTGAAGAAAAATTGGTCTTTTTAACACTCAAAAATTATATATCTCTTAGAAGAGATAAAGATTATTTATTTAACATATTTACTATTAGATGAATTTTGGGCATTAAGCGCCTTGAGATGTTTTTAAAACTTGTTTCAGTTTGTTTCTATAGTCTTAATTATTTATATCAAATAATTGTGGGTTTATGGTTGTCTAAAGTGAATAATTGAAAAGAAGAATGGTTGGGGTGATCAGTCAAATTAAAATGGTAAAAATAAATAATTTTATTTTACACTGCTGTCTGACTTTGCTTCTTGTACAGCAGCTCTGATAAAAGGCCTGAACTGTGGGGCGAAATATCGGCGAATGTAAAAATAAATAAAATTATTTATTTTTACAATTTTAATTTGACTGATCACTCCAACCATCCTTCTCTTTATTTATAACAAATCTTTTGAAATATGTTCCCAAATGTATTATGTCTATTATAAACACCTATTCCGTCTTTAGAAGAGAAGCTACCCCCTTCTGTTGGGAAAAAGCCTGTTCTTCCTCCTCCTCCTTCAAAGAAACCACCAAGTTCCGTTCCGGCTAACAAGCACGCAGAGAGCCCTCCTGCGAGTAAGTATTCAATTGTGTGTATTTGCAATAATATTAATGTATGCAACTAATATCTAATGAGGATGTAATTATATTAAAACAATGTATCTAAAAATGTGCAATCCCTTTAAAAGTTTGTTTGTTTGTTGTCTTGATGAATTGTTGAATTGTTGAAGAAAAGACTCTGAAACATTGATTGAAGAATTATAATAAATGAAGAAATGTGATTGAAATTTGTGTTTCACCAAATATACAAATTTATAAGTTATCTTCGAATCAGAAGACTTTTAAAAAGTTTTATTTAACAGATATAGTAAATAAAACACTTAAAGACTAAATAAAAATATGAAAAAGAAGTGTATGGTGGCAGGCTCTAGATAGGCCAATTCAATGATAATCCATGTTTTGTTTTTTTTTTCTTCTCAAAACTGAAAATCTCATGAAATGATTATTCTACGCTGGTTACAAAGAGTTACTATAGAAAATAAAAAAAGTTGCAAGTGACTGAATTTTTTGTAAGCAAACTATTTGCTAGGGGTTTTTGAACAGTATTTGATTGAATGAACTTGAGGTCCTCCTCGACTTCATCCAACCATCTCACTCTTGGTCTTTCTATGTATCGTTTCCTCCTAATTTTTCCATACAGCAAGCGTTGGCATCCTTTCTAAATGTCCAAGAGGCATGCTTCTTTCACAAAGGATACCAGGTCTGCTTTCCCATACATTGCACAGATCTCGCTGTTCTTCCTTAATCGCCACGTGTCATTTTCTCTTATTGGCCCATGTATCCTCCGGGGTTGAAAGGACTGATACCCCACACCTCATAAACAAAACCAAAAATAATAATAATCCTCAATTAACTTATCCTTAATTATAAAAATAACCATGTTTTTAATTTTATTTTTGTCCGAACAGGCCAGAGCTCGAAAGTCATCTCCAGCTCAAGTACCACTATAAAGCATAGCAGCTCTATGTCAGAAACTAATGCTAGTTCTACGAGTGCCAGTAGCAATAAGTGGACTGTAGTCGAGGGGTCGGACAACATCGATGGTCTTAGCTGGAGCAAACAGCAGTCTTATACTGTCAAAAGTGAAAGTTCTAAGTGAGTTGTTACTTTTCTTTTTTTTAATCCTTAAAGATTATTATCATTATCATAAGAGCAAAAATGTAATTTATTAAAATTTTTGTAATTGGGTAGCTATATGTATATATATTTATTGAGAGTCAAAATAAAACTTCATTCACTATTTGCTAGAATCTTAAGTACACTTTCTTTTGTATATTTTCTTCTGGTGAAATAATGCTGTATAACACTGTGGCATTATTATGTCTATTGTTATCTGTCATATTTAAGCTGTTTTATTTGAGATTATTAAAAAATACATAATTTTCAGTTAACGTAAGTTAAATCACCACAATTTTATATCTTATTTATTAATTTTTTTCTCTAGAATGAGCAGCTCAACGGTCAGTGCCATCAGCTTCAGCAGTACCAATAACTCTACCGGTTCGAACGACCTCGACTTGGACGTGGTCAGCAGAGATCCCATGCTGACTCACCCGACCGCTAGTCGAGCCAAAGCTCCCAAAAGGAGGCCCCCATCTGCCATTATAAATCTTCCGACAACATTCAGCTTGCACAATGTACGTATTGACTTGATTAATTATTGGCAATCTGTAGAAGTCGTCTTGCGTTAGATTTAGAAGCTAAAATACAAAAAGTTGACTAAAATATAAAAGGTAAAACTTTTAGGAGACCATGATAGTAAATAGTGTGATAGTGATGCCTTAAGAATATTGATTCGTCAAAGAAATCCAACACCACTTATTTTGATTGACGAATGGTTTATCTTGAATTGAATTGTTTATTTTAAAAAAATACAAAATTCCCACTATCTGAATTAATAAAAACTGTTTTATTTGCATTAGGAATGTAAATATATATATATGTATCACATCAATATTTTAAAATGGTTATAGATTATTTGCTTGCCTGAATTTTCAATTTTTATTACTCAGTGAAGATTAGGTTATAAAAATGAAACACAATTTTCAAAAAAGTCTCTAATTTTCTAATACATATTCAAGTGTGCAAAGGTAATAGAATAGAATAGTAAAATCAATTATATTCTGGGACTGTTTATCTTAAGAATAACTATATAAACAAAGATGGTGATCAATTCTGGCCATAAGAAGAAATTAAAATAAATACCTAGTAGTACCAATGAATAGAAATATTTACTTTAAATGAATTATATTACCTTTTATAAATGCATCTTTATAAAGCAGGGTTAAGATATGTTAGATAGCATTGTGTTTGGGAGCTATATAATACACATCACACATACACATACACACAATAATACATACAATGCTATATACACGTCATGGATCAACTTAGGCTATTAACACCAGTCCCCACCAAACTACCCAGATGCTCTTTTATTTCAGTTTTTTAGCTAAATATGAACTTTTTGTTTTGTTTGTTGTTTGAAAAGTGGTCTCCATCTTATATGTATATTTGGATCACTTGAATGCTATTGCGACTCAGATGTTTTACTTGTCTGATTGAGATTCTTTTTATTTATCTTTGTTGCCAATATAATTAATTATCTCTGAAGAGAGTATCTGAAATGTTTCTGGAGATTTATAGTTTTTGAATTATTTATAAAACTAATCAATATTTTTTGGCTTTCCACCTGGTCTTTGTCTATTATTGAGTCATTCATTGTCATGTAGTGGTTTCTACCAGATGGATTGCTCCGAGCTACATGCCCTGTCCATCTTAACTTCCTTGCCTCATCATAAAATGTTGATTGACCAGTTTCTTCTGTCCAAGTCTCACAGCCATTATATTAGAACTGGCTTTATCATAGCGTACACCCTTAGTCTGAGATTTCTTAAAATAATATAAAACATTATATTTTTGTTAACTTCCTTTAAAAAATCTTTTTTAAGAAGTTCTTAAATCATTATTAAATTAAAATAAGATAGTAATGATTTATGTTGATGCAGAACAAAAAATAATTCTAATCAATGTTATTTTTGAGATTAACAGGTATGAGAGGAAAAACTTTAGTGATTTCTTTAAAGTAGTTACCAGTTAAATATTTTTTTAAATATAGTTTATTTTACTAATACATGCTATTTAAAATTTTGGAGATTGGTCTCCCCTCCCAAATCATCAGAACATTCATGGCTTTTACTTGTTCATCCAAAATAACATAATTTTTTTTTTTTTTTCAGGAAATGAATAACGGAGAAGAGTCTCCCCCTCCAGCTGCTATGGTGAACGGCGACGCGGAAACGCACGTCGAAAAGCCACACACCAATCAGCAGCAGCAACCTCCTTGGGTAGGGGAACTCAAACTAAGTCAAGCCAAAAAGTCAATGCAAGGTAAGTCGAAAATAATTTCAGTTTATAAATACTATTAGTATTTAGTATTTAATATCTGGTACTCTTGGAAATACATACAATTTCCAGATAAAGGGGAAGTGAAACTTAATATTATAGACTCTATATTTAGTTATATTTCATTGTATGAATTTTTATTTGTATAAGTACCCTCATAAATCCAAATTTTAATATTTATATTGTTGTAATCTATACAATTAAATATTAAATAATACCAACAATATCATATATTATAACCACATTTGTATATTTATATAATATTTTCGGAGTCCGTATTATATTAACCTCATGTCACATATGGAAGCGTGTTCTAAACTTTTGGGCGAGCTCGGGTGCGCTTGTATTTCTTTATAACTATTCTGTGCAATTATAACTATTCTCCGTTACGATCTCTTATTTCTCTTTTAGTTAGTTATGAAATTCTTTCATATTTTATATTCAACTATCTTTAATATTAGAAATTAATGTGAAGTGGTCAATGTTTCCAAATAAAAAAAATTAAAGCTACTTTAGGGGAAGCTAATATTGAAAATTGCCTGTGCATTGTAAATGTCTGACATTTCCCTGAGACAACTGTGTCAATTTCTTTTTTCTCAACAGCCATCCCTGGATGAACAATACCATCACTTTGTTTAAAATTGCTAGCAGATTCAATATGGCCAAAAAAAAAAAATCAGTTTTTCTTTGTTTCTCTCCGGATAATGATCGTTGTACCTTAGGGAGATCCATGACTATTTGTGGTGTTTGGTGAACTAAAGATATGTAGTAAGGCGTTCAATCCTACGTCATATCCTCCAGCAAGTCTGGTGGGCCCCTACCTCCAGCAAGTCTGGAGGTCCCCTACCTCCAGCAAGTCTGGAGGTCCCCTCCCTCCAGCAAGTCTGAAGGGCCCTCTCATTGTTGGTCAGCGTGTCCATCGGACTTAGCCGGTAGGAACTTCCTAGGAATTTCCACCGACCATCCCCACATCCGCCACCCGTGGGACGCTCCCCATACGCGGTAATGAGCCCGCGCTAGGAAAACATTATATATATATAAAAAAAAAAAAAATTTCTAAATTTTTTTTTTTAAACATATATATATATAAAAAAATAAAAATGCTTTAAAAACAAATTTATACTGATTTACGATGTTTACAGTCAGTCGAAGGAGCTCCAAGTGGAGCCACTTCCCCACGCTTCTCTCTCAGCCGCATCACTAGATTAGGAATCCAGTGGAGACTAAGAGAGGGCACTAAAGCCACATACGCTCATGACTTGTGTGGAGAAGCTGGCCATTGTCAGGACTCCAGCGACGTATTTACAAAAGATATCTAGACCACTGCCTTTTCAACCTTCTAGGAGGAATGGAACTGGATAAGGATTGTGCTAAGGGATTAGGATGATAGATTAGGTTCTGATGAAAATTTGAAAATCGGGATGGAATAATGTCAAAGGCATAAGGGATGCTAAGATCATTATGTAGAGTTTTGTTTGTAACATAATAAGGAGCATTGACTATTATATGGAGGACTTTAGACTGGAATGATTGGATGCGTTTGATTTTCGAAAATTTAATAGTCCCCCTCAGTAGGTTCAAATCCGTAGGTTCAGATCTCAAATCCGTAGGTCCAGATCGATTTCAGTATGGTCTTGTATATTAATAGTTTGTTTTCAATTGAGAGCTCTCTCTTTTAAACCATTTTGTAATGATTTTCAATGTTTTTTTATAATTTAAACTTCATCAAATATATGTTGTTAGTTAATTCAAATTTCACTCATTTAGATTATTATTGCATGTGTTTTAAAAAAGTTGGGAATTTGAATTACCGAAATTGTGTGGCACACTGCTGTTATTATTTAAAAATATCCATCTGATGATTATTTCTCGAAAGTAGTAAAACTAATATTTTCTATTTAATTATTTATGGAAAAATTATACATTTTTTCTTTTTTATAGGAAAGACAAGGGTTATGATCGGAATGTCAGGTAGTACTGAAAACATTGTAACCCAAGAGAATAAGGTCTCCACGTCTACAGCTTCGGTAACTAGCACGTCCTCCAATTCTACTTCTTCCTCGTCGCTCGTGACGCTGAGGCAGCAGCCTGTCATCGGTCCAAGACCACAGTCGCTGCTGTCCTCCCTCAAGTCAATCACTGCGAGCCAGTCGGCCGAATCTGTTACGATATCTCTCAAACAGTGGAATGAACTACTGGAAAGAGTGAGTATATCGTTATTTTAATTAATATGATAATAATATTTATTTATAAAATGAAAATTTGATTGGTAGATTTACATAATCCTTCCAAAGATCATTTCTGTTTCTTTTTTATCAGATAGAATATAAAAGATACTCATTACTATTAATGTTTTATTTATAATGGATGCATAAAAGCATATAAATAATCATAGATTCTTGACTCAATTTTACTATCATGAAATTTCAATTAACAAGAGTTCAAAATTAAATACATTGTCCTTTATTAACATCTCTCTCTCTTTCTGATGACGTTCTGGTCCGTGAAGAACCCTGCTCTTCTCCACTTTAGCCGTCCTTCACATCTTCCTGCCAACAACCTAATCTTACTCTCTTTATGTTTCCTCCTGGATACATAATCATTTAGGGGATTCTATTTTCATTATTATCTAAATAACAAACTTACCATCTACCATTCACTTAAAAAAATCATTGTGTACTAATGGAATAGAGCTATAGGGCACATAGATGCGGGGTGGATCGAGCAGGCTAGTGTGTGTGTATAGCACCGATCGTTGCCCAACAGCCTGGATCAAAGATAATTTGATAAAAATGATTACGAGTTGGGGTACTACGAAATCTTGTTACATCATCAAAATTCAAACTTTTCAATCAATAGTTTTGTGAAAAATTGCATATGCACTTATCTAACAGTTCTATGTGAAAATGACTTCTTAAGGTACTATTTCGCTGGCGCAGTCCACGACAGCGACCGCTATCCCATGCTGCCAATCGCTGTTGGCGTAGCTATTTTGCTGAAACTGCTCACTGGTTTTGTTATAACCTGCCTATAACCTACAAACATTTCACTTTATCTTCGAAGATAAAAAAATAGACAATCTTTCTCTGACTACGCTTTTTTATTTGAGGAGGAAGAAGAAGAAATATTAATGGTGTTTATAAGGAGAAGGAATATCAGTATTTCGATGAGATGATCATCATCCAAATCATCAAATCCCTTCTTGGATATTGTTTGCTGTTGTCTAGATGAACAATCAAAAATTGAGGAACAACCAAAAAAGAACAAAAAGGCGTACAACGCCGTACTAACAACAATTGTCTCTCTGATATTAGATATTATTACTTCGAAAAGTAATTGTAATTATTACATAATTGATTAGTAATAAATGTCATATATTTGTAATTAAATCACAGCAGACGATGTTTTATCGTTTTATCAATAGTAATCAGTAAATCCCCACTTTAATTAAAAAATACAAATCGATTTTTCAATGAGTGGATTTTAGTATTTACCTGACGTTAAAATTTGTTGGATTCTTTAATTTATTTAATATCGTTTGGATTTAGGTATATTTGAATTTTGCAGTAAAATATTGTTGGTGGAATAAATAAATAATCTTGTTACTTCAACCTTTAAAAATAATTTACTATTGCATTGTTTAAGTTTTAAACAATATTCCTTATAATTTTGCCTGACTTGAAAGAAACATTGGAAATAAAACGTATCAACGTGACTGTTATCATCAAAACAATTCTCTGATATGATAACATAACCTACAACCGCCGAACTGCCAACAGCTGCCGAGGAGCACCAGCGAAATAGGTTCCTTTCTATTCTACTAAATCAGTGGTCAACCGCGTGGTCGTGGACCGCGTCAGTGTAATAGTACCTTTACATGACTTGATCCAAACAGTTTCAAATGCTGTAACACAGTACTATAAAACCTTCCACCAGGGACTCACTTACAACATTAGCCCAAGCAATTCCACCACGAACCCCTATATCCCACCCTGACGACTTTTAAGACTTATCTCCTCCTCAGAAAGAGTACAGATTTGCTTATTGCAAAAAATACTTTGCAGATAGCAAATTTCAAACATGTCTAATTTATATATTTATGTTATAAAAAAAAAATTATATAATATATTGTCATTTTTTTATTTTTTAATTGCCTGTACAGGTGTCATCTTTAGAATCCAATTTTGAGTCACAAATTATTGCCCTCACGAAGGCTGTGAAAGATTTGACCGGGATGTTGGAAGACGAGACCCAGAGGAGGGTCACAATGCAACAAGAACTCGATAAATTAACGGACCTTGTAACTCAAGTTTGAATGCAGCCTTCTTTTTTTTTTTTTTTTAATTATTATTAATTTTGTATATATTTTTTATTTTTAGCTTCAGGGTAAATATTTTCTTATTTTATCGGTGTATGTAATACATCCAAGGCAGGTATTAACTTTTTAATATTTTATTTGTATATATATATATGATAATGTATTCCAATGAACTGCGTACTTATTCTCCCATACTTTTTTGCTAATTTAATTGTATATTTTGATTATAGTTTCTGTTAGATTGGGAAAACATGTTTCCCACATTGGCCATATCGCATTGTATGCAAGTCTCTCAATTTTATATGACATATAAAAATAAAATTTTATTACGAAGATAACTTTTTGTTATTTTTAACTAATAAGTTAAAAAAGTAAGACTTAAATAATATATTGAGTAAAGTGTTGGTATATTGATCAATACCTTAGCCTGGATTTAAGTTTATAAAACAAAAAAAAAAAAAAACCAATGCAGTTTAAGGGACTGATTTTTGAAAATATATTTTTTCAACTACAGATATTTTCTCTGGAAGATAAAACATTTATAGAAATTTTGCATGTTTGATACTTTTTTGGGGTTAAATTTATATGCATTGTAGTATAGTACTGCCTCCTTGATCTAGCAGCTATCAGATTAGGATTAATTATAAACACTCGAGTTTAAAAAAAAAATTCAATTTATATTAAAAACAAATTATAATATTATACTTTATTGAAACTGCTGTGATGCTGAACAGATATTGTAAATTAATAATTATTATAAATATTTTAATATTAAAATGAAAATGTAGTCGTTTTGTTACTTACGTTATCAAATAAAACATATTTTGTTTTTTAAATATAGATATATATCATTGAAGGAAGCTAGTCGACTGTTCTACATATCATAAGTGATAAATATTCAGGACGCATTCTTTTTTTAAAAAAAAATTTAATTTTTTTTAAAAAAAAGACTGCTTCCTGAATATTTATCATCCATGATAGAAATATATCCTTCAACCAGTCTCATGTTTATTTTTATCACTGAAAGAAATTTTTGGTGCTTTGCTCCGTATTCATCTATGTTAATCTACATCTATATAGTCATTTTTTTTTCTTTCAGATGTTTTTGCAATCATAAATTATCGTTTTTTTTTTAATATATCGTTGATGGCGAGAGGATCTTTTTTATTGTTATTTATTGTGTTTCTGCTAATAATTTCTATATATTTATATAATTAATAAAATATATTTTATGAAACCAATCAGGTGTGTTAATAGATGAAAAGTTCTTTGACCTTCCATTGTCCCACAATTTTTATTATATTGTTATTTTAATTTACATGTATGTTCCGAAGCCTTTGGCCATCCTCAGCACATCTTCTTTTCAAATATCACAATTTATATTCTTTAAGAAAAAAATTTCAATTGTGAAGTTGATAATTAGTTGTCCATTTTATCTTATCAATAGACAATGGTCACTCATTTAAAATAATTATGTTGTTGAATCCATTTAATATTATTATATTTTTAATTTTTTTATAATTTTAAATGTAATGTATTTAGTTTAAATTAAATAGTTTTTTTTTTTAAATAAGTGAACATTGTCTATTGACAAGGTAAAGTGGACAAAAATAAATTTAAATTGTTTTAGCATTAAGAATATAAATTGTGGTATTTGAAAAGCACTTATGCTGTTACATGTAAATTACATTATAATAAAAATGGTGGAAAAGAAGGTCAAAGAACTTATTATTATAACTTATTGGTGTTTTATCCAATCTATACATAAAAAACCAATCAGGTGTATACTTAAAACGAATCTTTTTTTTTTTAATTTAAATGAAGGATTTCCTTCTGTTGGGTATACGACCCCTTACATTTGATGCGGAATTCATCTAATCTACTTTTGAATAAACTCTTCTGCCAGAGCTACTGCTGATTTTCAAAGTCTTTCTGGTAAGGTTAGGCATTTATTTATCTTAAAATCTCAAAAAAAAATTAATTTTTTTAATTAAATTAAAATTAAAATTACATTCATTCTCCATAAAGACCATTGTAAACAGGTGGGGTTTCAGTTTCTATAAGAAACAAATTATTATATCGAAACAATTAAAGCTTAAAGCTCTTATTCTTATTCAATGATCTATTCTATCTTTCTAAATTTTTACACATCCATCTTTGTCAAGGGTTGCTCTTCTTGCTTCCGGCTATCCGATTTCTTTTCCTTTAAGGATAGTTTTTAGGTTAGCCTCCATAGTTTTCTTCGCTGAACAGCAGTCATCTATCCTCATTACACTGATAGGATTATTGAACCATCAAAGCTGCCCTTTCTCAATCATCTAGTTGAAGCGTTGACTTTTGAGTGTAGTCCGTATCAGTGTGTTACGTATACGGTCTATTGGCCTTACCCTCTATTTTCTTCAGATACCTGGTTTGCATGATTTGGAGACAGCTGCGATCACATTTGTTTAACCTTCTGCAGAGACAATATCATAACTAATGAAGGTTTACTGAGGTGTGATTATTGCTAGTTTATTTCTAGTAAATTTTCTTTTTCTTCTTTTTTCTACACTCGAGTTTTTATAAACTGCTGGATTGTTGAGCTTTACTGTATATTCACTCTTATATAATAAATTAATTGGTTCTCCATTTTTAGATTAGATGCCAATTTTCTATAAGTGCCACACTAGTTATAGTAAGTTTATTTATATTGAGTAAATTAAATGGGAAACGCTAGTATTTAAATTAATGTTAAATTTATACGTTATTCGTCCATTTAGTGAAAATTTAAAAAGAAAAAAAAAGGTGCTTAGTGCAATTTCGTAAAACTTGAAAGTCTGTTAGGGAAACTATATTTTGCTTCACATTAAAAAAAAAGCTAAGATTTTAAACTAGATTTTTATATATCGCAATGTATTTATATTAAGAGAGAAGTGTCATTCCACTTGCTCGTTATATTTTAGATTTTTTATAAAAATATGTTTAGATTTTATGAAATATGTAAAATTCCTATGGTGATAATTATTATAATTCTTATTATTACTTATGAATTTTTGTATCCTATAAATATTTTGCATAGTTTTACGCAATGAAATATATAATCAAATAAATCATGATCAAAGGAAGACATTTTATGATTATGTGTAAAGGAAGTTTTGTAAATAGATTACTCTCTTACATGATCAGTTTATAATATTGTTAAATGTTATTATTTTCTATCAGTAGGTGAAATTAATAATGTTTACAATTTTCGCTTTTTAAGCAGCCGAAGTAAGGTATTTATTATTATTTTTTAACCTAATCCATAATAGATGAGAAAGTTGTTTAAATGTGTAAGAAGAAAAAATTGTTGAAATATTTCAAAAATATATATTTTTTCCTGTTGAATGCTTTTGATGGTTGATTTTCAGATGTTATTAATTTTTAAGTAAAATTTACATTCCATACTTAAAGGACAATCTGTACATTCCTTTTTTGAAAAGTGATTTTTTCAAAATTTACTGTGAATAAAGTTTTTTTTAAATTATTATTGTAAATAATAACTTGCATGTCACCTTGTTTTTATTTTGTATTTTGTTTTTACAAGTTAATAAGGTAAATGTACCGGTAATAGACACTAAGGGTAGTTTTTAACATTAAATTGAATCATAGTTTTAATTCTGATGGTCGATCTTTGTAAATGGGTTCAATACATAGCAAATTTAGTCGTTTATTGATTTTTTTTTTTTTTTTTCTATAAAGTTAAATAAAGAGACACCAGCACAGTTATAGGAACAATAGACACTCACGTTTTGTTCAATCATCCAAAATAAATTCTATTCAGTTTTCAACTCAGAACGGCAACGAAATGGTAAACTGCAGATGAATGAATAACAAATTCCAACTTATCTCCTTAACCTTTCCGCTGCTGCGAGTGATGAGCTTTACGTCTACCACGGTGCTGAATGAGCCGGCGCCGGCCTGTGCTACATGCTTTTTACCTGCTTTCCACCCTTCGTTTCTGGCTCGTACTACTGCCTTATTTTATTGTTTCCATCCTCTTTCAGATTTGGGCTCTGGGCCAACACTGGCGTAGCTAACTTTTTTTTTTTAATTTTTCTATGTTTAAATATTTATTTAATAATCTAATTTTGTGTGGTGATTGACGTTGATGGAGCTGTTGAAATATAAAGAAGTGATGAAGTTAAAGGAATCGAAATGTTGGCAGCTTCTGCAACAGTAAACCACCTTTTCTCCATTTTTAGAATAATAAGGAAACAAAAAATAAATAATCTATACACCCATAGAACGCAAAACAAAAAAATTAAAATGGTCGAGTCAGCCATAGAAAGGCAGTTGCAGGTAGTAACTCATAACGCTCCATGGATTTTACAAGAAAAGCTCCAAAATAAATCCCCACGCCATCTATGGGCTCTAGTTAGAAGCTTTACTTCACTATAAAACTAGTAGAACTTAGCAAAGTGGACTATAGCCATCGTTAGCAGCAGTGGTACATTCAGTTGGTGCGACCCTTTAAGCCGTCGTTAGCAGTTAAAGGGTTAAGAAAAGTGAAAAGGAAACCACCCTGAACCAAACACTCAGCCTTGCTCCTTTTTCTAATCGACTACTGTGTATATCATTTGAGGTTCGGGCAAAACCCTACTAAGTGCTTTAACTGTATATCTACTCACATTTGCACTCTCTTTTGAGAATATAAAGCTTATTACATATTAATGAGTTGAAAATTACTGGTACATTTACCTTACAAGTTAATATATTTTTTATAAATTGAAATACCAATTAGCTCATACGAAAGAACACCACCTTAATCCTTGTAAGCTATTGATGTATATATAAAAAATTACATATATTTTTTATAAATTATTCAATGGCTATTTCGATGTTTTAATTCTCATTTTGATCTAACTCTCTATGGCCCAACCTTAGACGTGATAGTCATTAGTTACTAAATATTTGGAAATATATTTTTTTAAACTTTAAATATAATCGTTAAATGTTCGATAGATGTATGTACTTATGTATTTATACAATTATCAATAATATCCGTTGCAAGTAATTATTAAATAAATCAATTTTACAGCTATTAACTTTAAATAAAGCTTTATAATGCCCTTAGACTTATTATTTAATTTTTTATTTTTTTAGTTTCAGAGAAAATATTTCTGTAGTTCTACTAAATCTTTTACTTCAAATATATTATTGTGTATGTAAGCAAGACAATAAATGTTTATCTGTTGCAATTAAAACATTTAAATACTATATTTTTACTATAGTATATTTTGAACAATATAATCTAACCTATTGTTCCTTTTCGCTGTACTTAATTTTTTATTTAAATTCTTAGTTACGAGATTTTTATTGATTCTACAAAATTCAACATTTAAATTACTAACAATTATTTATTAAATGGCCTATAAATAAAACTTATAACATATGCAAATTATTTTTTATTTATTCATCTTTTATTATTATAATTGATTCGCTGTTTATTATCATTGATTAAATTTTATATTACAATAAGTTAAGTGAAAAATAATCATTTTTATTGATGGTTTATCTTATTAATTTTTTTTTTTTTCATTGGGAAGTAGAATCTCTATAATTTGTAACTGGTGTAAACTGTATTATTATAAATTATGAAAATCATAAATGAACTGTTATAAAAAAAAATTAATTAACT